GGTTTAGGGTTTAGGGTTGAGCAGCTGGGTTTAGGATAGTCGTGACTGCAGACGAATATTATTTGGGGACTGAGTACCTGGACCCGTGATGATACAAAGGGGATAGCCCATTTTCGAGGCGATACGTGCATGCATAGTCCTCTTCTGTTTCAAGTCTCCTTGATGGCCGTGAGGGCCCACTGCACATGAAGCCACTACTTCGTCAACACATCTTTAGCATTAGTTCACAGTGTAGCACATTCAACCGGCCCGCATACTTTTGCACAGGCCTTGCGCAAGAATACTACTAAAAAGTATCGCCCCTGTAGAACCGCAATTAACATTAGAAACCCGATCAGACCCTCAGAAGAGGACCCTAATAACACCTTATCAAAACCCTACAGTGCCCTAAACTCTTAACCCTACCTTAAGAACCCAAAACCCATTTTTTGTAGGTTCTTATTATAAACCCTAATATGGGATTTATGGGGACCCTACAAAAAAGTAGGTTTTGGGGTTCTTAAGGTATACCTATACCCTACCCTAAACCCCAAACCCTTAACCTAACCCGAAACCCTAAACCCTAAACCCTACACCCTAACCCTAAATCCTAAACCCTAAACCTTAACCACTCTACAAGAAAGCAGGGGGGCTTGCTCTGCCTGCGCCGCTGTCGTGCTCGAAGGCTGGCCACCGCGTGCGCGCGTTGCAATACTCGAGGCCACAAGACTCCTGGGATTTCCGGGTTGCTGTTCCGGAACTTTATTTAACTTGTCTTAATATGAATATGTAGTAAATAATAAGAATTCCTTCTGATAGTAACTTGATTTAAGTTCCTTACGAACAACCCAGATTTCTGCACCTTGAATGGGCTCGCAATCTACGGAGGAGAGGGGGTACATGCCATGTATAATAGAGGAAAACAAAACCAATGATAATGGTAATAATCGTCATGGTGACAGCATACACATTCATACATGTATGTATGCGCATATCTATGCATATATATATATATATATATTTATTTATTTACTTACTTATTTATTTATTTATTATATATACATAGAAAAAAAATATATATATATATATATGTATGTGTGTTTCGGTGCGGGTAGGTTGGTACTAGGTGCAGTACTGCTTTTGGGCAAGCTGCCGGGCCAAATCTCGCTTCTGGTTTGCTTACTGTATGTCTCTGTCTATGTGTTGTACCTTCATGTCTATCTCTGTGTCTATCTATCTATCTATCCATCCATCTATCCGTCTGCCTATCTATATATCTATCTATCAAACTACCTATCTATCCATCTGTCGATCTATCTATCTATCTATCTATCTATCTATCTATCTGTCTATCTATCTATCTATCTATCTGTCGATCTATCTGACTCCTGATCTGTCTACCAACGTATTTCTACATTTTGTATTATCAATCTACGTAATTAATGTTTGTTCACCCTGCTACCATCCATAGTCTGTTTGTATCTAGGTTTGTAAAACAGTTCATATTTATATTGCATGTATACACATTTATCTTCTATTCAGATATGTACTCCTTTAGCTGTTTTGTTGACACGTCGCTTGCGTGCTTGCTTGAATGCTTGCTTGCTTGCTTGCTTGCTTGCTTGCTTGCATACCTAGATGCCCACATACCAGCCTGCCTACCTACCTACCTACCTACCTACCTACCTACCTACCTACCTACCTACCCACCTACATACATACATACATACATACGTACATACATACATACATAAACAAACATACTCACAGATATGCACTTACATAATGTTACGGAATTACATGCATACATCCATGCATGCATCCATACGCGACAAGTTCGAAAAAACAAAACTGAGCGTGTTGAATTCCATGGCCGACATAGGGGGGCCTGCGGCGTGGAAGCTAGTTCTCCGTTTAGGGTTTAGGGTTTAGGGTTTAGGGTGGGAGTTTGGCATCTGTACTGAGTATGTCACGAGTCCTAGGGAGCCTACGGGACGGCATTGGCAATTATTCCGTAATTACTAGACCCTAAACCCTATACCCTAGACCCCTGAAGCCCTAAACCTTGAACCCAAGTACTTTCTGATTACTTCGGACTCTTGTAACCCTTAAAGAGCCCTTTATAAGACTTCTTCAAGAAAGCCTATACTATTTTTGCTCTTACACCTTACACCCGAGCAGTTAAGTGTAAGGTTTTTTAAATGTCGGGTTCCGCCGCGCTTAAGTGTAGCTCGAGGAGCCGTGCAAACCCTAAACCCTAAACCCTAATCCCTGAACCCCGAACCCTAAACCCTAAACTCAAAGGCTCGCTGTGCCCACAAAGAGGTTTTCCTTGCGGATACCCTGTAGGGTTCCTTAAAGGGGTTCAGGGGTTTAGGGTTTAG